ATAATTATTAAATATTTTGTCAGATATTAACCAACTCTTATAACTATCAATTATTCTTAATAATCAAATTAAATAAAATTAATATTTTTAAAATAATATTAAAAAATTTGTATAACCATAATAATTTTGTGTGGTCATCACCATTAAATTTGATATGACTACGAAAGATGGTCAAATTTTTTTAATTTAACTGTTAAAAATATATAATAATTAATAAAATAATTAATATTTATTATTTAATAAATTAAAATTAATTTTTAAATAAATATTTTTAAATATTCTAATTACTTATTTTAAAAAATATATAAATTGATAAAATTATAATTAAATTAGTAATTTTAATAAAAATTACGTTAATAACAACCCCAGCCCATATACATACCCACCGTCACTGTCAAACCTCACATGAGACTATGGGACTAAAAGCACATAGACACATACCAACCTTAGAAAAAATCTACATTATTATCTAAATAAATAATTTAGTAAAAAGTGATTAAAAATTTAAAATATTCAAAAATTATTAAAAAAATTATATAAAAAATTTTAGACCAAATTTCTAATTATACTTATTTTAATTATTAATTTTTTAATTTTTTAATTTTTAGATGTAATAAACAAAACCTGCTAATCATTTCCCCCATCTCCCATGGCTTTGTTATCGGTAAGGAAAGTAATCGTCAAACGCCAATCTTAATCTAAAGTTCACGGAAGACTCTACGTTAAATGTACCAGAAGCACGCCAATGATGAGTTTAAACTTTAAAGACCCACCTTAAATGGACCAGACCCCACCCCAAATCCCAAGACAAATTGTATTGGGGCTGGGCATTGGCTACGAATATATTTGAGATTTATAAGTATTTGATTTGTTTAAATAAATATTTTACTTGTATATGTCAAGAGACACTTAAATATTGGTTATGAAAAATGCATACATATCAAGTAATGTTTTAAAGTTTGGTTTGGTTATTGATCCATTTTGGTCATTGGATCTGATTTAATCAATTGAATCGGTTTGACCAATCAAGTCAATCAGTCAACTTAATAAATATTATTTAATT